AATCTTCTGGATTTCTGTGTGTAGATTTTGTATCATTTCTAATTTTTCATTTATTTTGTCATTTTGTTCTTGTATTGTCTTTTGAAATTGTTCTAGGGTTTTCTCTGTGTTTTCCTTGATCTGTCTCTCAATTTGTTGAAGATACCTAAATAAAATTCTTTTGAATTCCTTATCAGGGAGTTCCAATGCTGCATCTTCCTCAGGGATGTGTTTTGGGTCTATATCCTGGTCCCTTGTTTATCCTGCTTTATTTTGCTTCTTTGTGTGGACTGTGATGCTCTGTTGTCTCCAAGGTATTGTGACATTTTTGTGTTTATATTTAATTGGTGATTGTATGTTGGGAGACTTACAATTTCTGTTTTCTTTGTATGTTATCTACACAAACAGTGTACTGTGCTCCTCTATTTGCTAGTTGACAGCACTTATACACTCACCACCTGTCTCCTTTCCTGTTGTCAGCCTTTTGTTTGTCCCTGCCAACCTTGGCAAACAGAGCCTATTCTTAGGTCCCTGGAATCTGAATGAGAATGCTATCACTTTAGAATCCAAAATGGTTGCCACTTGTAAAGATTCAAAATGGCTGCGCCCTCTGTCACTTTAAATATCCAACATGACTGCCACGTGTAAACAATCAAAATGGCTGTGCCCTCTAGACGCAGGGAAAGTCAGTAGCTCAGGTTGTCTCCCTCCTTGCTGTTTCCCTTCCTAGTCATAGGCCACCAGCGCAATTGTCCCTGCAGCCCTTGGTGACCAGGGCTGGTCTTTAGGTCAATTCTCAGATTCCAGCACCACTTGGAAATATTCAGGCTGTTGGTCCCACCAGAGTAGCTGACAGTCCACAGCTCTGACCGTCTCTGTACTCACTGTCTTTGTTCAGGTTTTTCCACTAGTTTGTGCTTAATCCACTTCTGTATAGTTCCTTTCAAAGCTCAGGACTCCAGGATTATCTTCTGTATCTCTGTCAATTGGTTTTTCCTTTATTTATTGAAGAGGGTCTGTGTCGCTTGTCTGCCTATTCCTCCATCTTCCCAACTTGGTATTTTAAATTTGATTTGATACGTTCATTTTATAATTTGAAAGCTTTTGCATAAAATCACTAGGATGGAAGAAATTGTAGACTTTGATTAATTAGTAGAGGATTTTGTTCTGTTAATCATTTAATTTCTTTTACTTTTTGTAGTTTCCTATTACTTAAGAGAAACTGGACTATTATCACATCCTTTAATTTATTTTCAGGGTGGTTGGTAGCTTAGATAACCTGAGATACCATCAATAATTTATTAGTATTTTATGGGCCTTATTTCGGGTTTTCTTCTGACTTTGTCTAAAGGCTCAACGAGCACACTGCAAACAAGAAATATATCCAAAGTGGGATTATGGGTCCTGATCCTTGTTGCCTGTTTGCATGGCCATGTTGGAATTTGACCTTTAGAGTATGGACGTAATGATGAGGAAGGACAGACTATGTATGTAATGTTATTGCACAAAATGGAATTTTCTTTCTTTTATCTTAAAATCTGAGATTGTTTCCTTAGGTAAGATGTCCTCAAACGGCTCAGGCTAAAACTGGTAAAGTCTTTTGTGTTTCATTAAGCAGATACTTAACACAGCAACTACAGCTGTTATGAATGCTGTGAAAAATACAGTAGTTTTTCAAAGCGTCAATCAGACGCACCACACTTGGAGAAATGCCTTAGAAGGCTCCTTAGGAGTGCAATTTTAGCTGAGACCCAGGTAGAAAATCACAAAATAAAGAAGAAGGTGGATTAGCCTTCTAATCAGAAAGCATAACGTGTGCAAAGGCCCTGACGCTGTTGAGAGAATAGCATGTTTGATGCACTTTATACTGTATACTCTGAAATACTATATACATCCACACATAGATACTCTGCCATCAACTGATGGATTGACCTACATATTATCAATGCCAGTGCCTGCTTTAGTCAGTAAATCAAGCATTGCCATGTCCTCTTCTTCAACCCGGCCAAAAATTGGAAAGATATAAAATGTAGATTGATTGATTGCAGAAAGATCAGGGTGTCTCTCTTGTGCTCTTAAGCTCACTCCTCTCACTCTGTCTCTGTCTTGCCTCTCTTAAATTTACTGGCCATGTAGCACAAGGATACACAGCAGCCCTGAGTTTGTTTTTTATTATATTTTCTGCTGTTGTTCTTTATATTAAGTTTAATTTGTATAATTACACAAAATACACAACTATGCCTCCTGTAGATCATTACTTGTTGAATACCTGCTAAAGGTAAGGTATTATTCAGGAAGGTGGAAGGATTTCTATAAATGCAGAATATGGTGCCCTTCTCTAAAGGATCTTACAGTCTGGTTGGTGAAATGGGATAGATTGTGCATAGCAGAAGAAAATAAGCACAAACAGCAATGCACTAGTAAGGGTCTTAGTATTTCAGAGAGAGTGACCTAGAAATGCCTAAAAGTCTATGCAGGATGTAGGTTAAACACAATAAGTACATAACACTTAAGTTTTCAGATCCATTTATCATTGCTCTTTTTACTTTTATATTATTAGCATGTTGGCAGATAAACTGAACATGACCCCAGAAGAAGCTGAAAGGTGGATTGTGAACTTGATTAGAAATGCAAGATTGGATGCCAAGATTGATTCTAAATTAGTGAGTATTAACGTTAGTTATGCTACTAACTATACTAGATATCGGAAAGTCTGGTAGTGTAGTGCCTAAGGCAGTTGACTGCTAACCAGAAGGCTGATGGTTCAAACCCACCAGCTACTTCTCAGAAGGAAGGTTGGGTGATCTACTTCCATAGTGATACCACCTCAGAAACCCAAGGAGGGTTCGCTATGAGTTGGGTATGACTTGACGGCACAGAACAACAACATACTAGATATCAGTTGCTGAATAGTTTATCCATTTTATCTTTTGGGGAATTTTTAATTAAGATGTTTTACTCTGTTCTGAGAATTTTGTGTGTGTATGTAATAATTCTTTGAGGGCAATAGCAACATCTATTTTTTTTTCTTTCACTGGGTGATTTTTATTTATTTGTTTTTTTATCTCTATACAGTATATAAAAAGGTGTACAACTAGACATGTTGTGTTATTGTATCATCCCCATGACTTAGCTGTGAAGTTAGTCAATATTATGAGATTGCGTTCCCTGTATTTCATTTCAGGGTCATGTGGTCATGGGTAACAATGCAGTCTCACCCTATCAGCAAGTGATTGAAAAGACCAAAAGCCTTTCATTTCGAAGCCAGATGTTGGCCATGAATATCGAGAAGAAACTTAATCAGAATAGTAGGTCAGAGGTAAGAAACACGTTTTCTCTTTTGTCTGGGGTCTAGCAACAATGTACCATAATTGTTCTATAGACTTCATTTGAGAACATGTTAATTAATATCTGTGGTATCTGATGTTGCATTTCTATTTGTTAGAGTTATGGACATTTTGTTTAAGAATTTACTGAGCTAAAAATAATTTTTTCTTAGATGTATTATATGCATTAGTCAAGAAAATTGAAAAAAATTAAGTGTTCCTAGTTTATTGTAACTATTTCCTTTTCCTTTTACTCTTCCTGTATGACTTTATTAACTGGTTTCCTTAGGGTTGTAACACATCATTTTGATACTGGCACATGATAACTTACATGTGTAACCAACCCTCTTTCAAGTGCTTTGAAATATGTTTTTTTTTTAAATCTAAAGAAGTATTTCTATAAAAATGTTCATCTTACTCCATCTATTAGTGCTGTTATACAAATTTCATTTTATCTTTAGCTGATGTTCGTATTTAACTACGTCAAAAAGTCTTTCTGACTTTTTGGTAGGCATGCTATTGAAGGAGATTGAGTGGCTTTGTTACAATGGAATTCCAAGCTGCCTGATGGTTGAAAGTCATTAGGAAGCAGTTGTGGGACATTCAGGGACCCATTTAATTGAAATATTACAAACAAGTTTATGTCCTTAGACTAGTCATTCAGTATTAAGGAGAAGAGAAAATGAGAGAATTGTCCATGTGCGTTACCACCAAGTGTACAATAATTGGACCTGAAGACAACTTTTATGTAATAATTTTTTTCTCTGTGCTTCAGGGTTAGTTGATGTTTAGAATATTGTTACAGTGTTGGTGATATTGTCACCAATTGTATATGTTGTAATTGGCCAAAATTATGTTGGATGATATTTTGATGAGTTTATTATGTTCTAAGCAGAACATCTGACATTTAGTACTTGTAGAGATTGTCAAAATCTTAATAGTTTGTCTGGACTAGTGAAACGTGGAAGTGCTTTACTTGCTAAAGTAAACAATAGTATCCCTTTTTTTTTCCATGTTAGCTTTTTTAGAAAGTATGTTCTTTTCACCTTGTTGATTTCTCTTTGTATATTTTAGGCTCCTAACTGGGCAACTCAGGACTCTGGGTTCTACTGAAGAACTGTTTAAAAAAGATGAAAAACTAAAAAAAAAAAAGATGTAACAATAAAACCATGATGTAAAATATGACTGACATACATTTTAGAAACAATAAATTGAGTATAAATTTTGGAGACTTTGAATAAAATTGGCTGTGTTTCATTTTATCTTATTGTGAATTTCCTTGGGTATGTAAGTGTTTTCTAACTTTTTATTTAGGAATAAGTATGTATTCACAGGAAGTTTTCAAATAGTACAGAGAAGTCCCATGTACCCTAAGCCCAGTTTCTTCCAGTGGCTAGTTAACATCTTATGTACAATATCAAAACCAGTAAATTGGCGTGGGAACAGTGTATCACCTGCAGAGTTTTATATTCACATCATAATTAACAAAATAGAACCATCCTCACCGCAAAGATCTCCCTCTTGCTACCACCCCCTTGTAGTTATATCCCCACCAACCCTAACCCCTGGCTACCACTAATCTGTTCTTCATTAGTAGAATTTTGTCATTTTGAGAATGTTACGTAAATTGAATCATACCTTTTGAGATTAACTTTTTCTCTCAGCATAATGCCCTTGAGCCCTGTCTGGTGCTGTATATATCAATATTTGTTCCTTTTTATTGCTTAGTAGTATTCTGTGGTATTGATTTACCACATTGTTTAGCCATTCAACTATTGCAGGATATTTTGGTTATTTCTAGTTTGAGATTATTACAAATAAAGCTGCTACTTATTTTCTTAAAGAAACTGGTTCCTTTGTTAGTTACTGGACAGCTATAGAGACTTAAGAAGGAATGAATATAACTTGGATTTTATAAATGCCTCCCTAAATATAATACACACACAAAATACACAGTTTGCTGGTATAGGCTTTTTTTTTTAAACCCACCTAAACTTTTTCTGTGTGTGATTTAGGTGAAAGTTTACAGAGCAGATTCATTTTCCATTCAACAGTCCATACACATATATTTTCTTGACATTGATTACAGTCCCCAAAATGTAACAGCTTTCTTCCCACTTCTTCCCTGTGGTAACCTTTTCCCTGTGCCCTGCTTTCCAATGTATTCCTGCCCTCCCTGTGCAAGTGCGGCCTTTCTGCTCACCCATGGTTGATTGTTCTAAGCAGTGCACCTACCTGGTATAATTGTTCACCTTGTAGGCCTGTCTGTTGTTTGGCTGGAAGCCATGGAGTCAGTTCAATTCCAAGCCAGAAGGGTGACTAGGGGCCATTGTGTCAGGGGTTTCATCCATCTATCAGACTAGTAAGCCTGGCTAGTCTTTTTGTTTCTTTCTATAATTTTGAGAGTTTTATTTCAAAATTTCCTCCCACTCTATACTGGATCTCCTATTTTGATACCTTTCTGAGTGGTTGACCGTGGTGGCCAGGCATCCTCTCGTTTTTCCATGCTCAGGGTCATATAGGCAG